GTGTTTATCTTTGTGTTTGTCATTGACCTTGTCTGAAATCTTGCTAAGATGACAGAATGCTGTATATGAGGCCTCTCGAGACAGTGTTCAACAGTAGTGTGGAGTGACAGAGAGAAGCAGAGGCACAGAGACAGGCCAGGTTGTCTGTGCTTCCTGCTGTTGCAATAAAACTCAGCTGATCATCTCACAGAGTATCTTCATTCTTGAGGAACGTATTTCTCTGTCGTTGTTAAATAAATATTGCCATAACAACCATATTTTTATTTAAAACGTATTCTTTTCTCTCGCTTCGTCCACCATTACTAGCTTAAACAAATCTCCGGTCGGGCCGCAATGCATTATGGGATATGCTGGGCCGGGAAGGATCCATCAGACCTGTCCTTCGATTCGGGCCAAAGGAAGGACGTATTTGTCGGCCACATCGGAGGAGTCTTCGGTTTTGGACGTCCTTCGTCGCGGTGCTGTGACGTAGGCAGCCGACAAATTTGGCCTTCGGAGGACCCGGCCTGTTGTTTTGGACACAGCCAACGTGACAGGCAGCAAAGGCTCATGGGACTTTTCATAATTTAAAATTTGAGTGTATGGGGTTTTATAAGGTGTGCAAATCAAGATATGGACTTAAATCTAATCTAAATGTCTCTTGTAGTTACTTGTATTTTATATTTAATTTTGACATAATAAAAATCTAGTAACCAGAACAACTGCTGGTGGGCCAAATCAAATGGCTCTATACAAGTAAGACCTTCATTTCTGGTGACGTCCTGTGATCTGACGAAACTAAAATTGAACTGTTTGGATATAATGACCATCATTTTGTTAGGAAGAAAAAGGGGGAAGCTTGCAAGCTTGAGAACACCATCCTGACTGTGAAACACGGGGGTAGCAGCATTATGTTGTGGGGTTGTTTTGCTGTAGGAGGGACTGATGCACTTCATAAAATCGGGAAAAAAACACGATAAAAAAGTCAGTGTTTTGGAGTGGCCATCACAAAGCCCTGATCTCAATCCTATCAAAAATATATGAGCGAAGCTGAAAGCTGTTTTTTTTTCGTGTGCAGTGCCCTGAGGCAACGTATGTTGTGACCTGGTGCTATATAAATAAACTGAACTGAATTGAACTGAAAGGCATGTGCGAACAAGGCAGCCTAAAGACACGGCCCAGTAAAACCAGTTCTGTCAGGAGGAAAGAGACAAAATTCCTACGAACTATTGTGAAAAGGTTGTGGGAGGATATCCAAAATGTTTGATCCAAGTCATATAGTTTAAGGGCAATGGTACCAAATACAAATGAAGTGAATTTAAACTTTTGACTTTAAAGAAAGTAATAAAAATTACCTTAAAATTCTCTCTCTCATTATTCTGGCATTTAGCAAATAGAAAAAAATCAGTAACCCTAATTGACCTGAAACAGGAAAGTTTTATTCTGATTTTATGTCAGTGTGGAAAAAAAAATGCATGTCTTTTTATATAGTGTATGTAAACTTCTGGTTTTAACTGTTTATAGGCCCACCTCATTAATATTGAACTGAAACAGCAAAACCCTGATCCATAATGTCCTGATGCATCTCAGTAAACCAGGTAAAAAAATCAAAAAGAAAAAAATTGTATAGGTCTTCTGGACGGGTTCTTCTCTA